CCCCCCCCCCCCAAAAAAAAAAAAATCATTCTTGAAACGTAAGCAATAAGGGTTTTGTACAGCCATAACATTAATATTATATATACCAGACATTTGAGGCATCTCTGGTTTTTTATTTTTTATTTTTGGTGGAATGGCAGGAGTATAGGCATTCGGTGACTGTACAGAAAGAAAAGGGAAATCAGCTTGGTTTTGTACTTCATTTCACATCAGCACCCAGAAAAAAAAACAGAAACGACATGTACATTGAATATCTCTTTATACATACGCCCGGGAGAGGTTCTGCTTCTCAATTACCTTTTTTTTTTCTTCTGGCTCGATTTTAAACATTTTCCAAAGAATTTTGCACATGTTTTTTGTCAAAAAGAAAATTAGTACTGGTATAATTACAAAACAGAAACCTACAAGCAAATGGCGTCGCCCGGACTTGAACCGGAGACCTTCAGTGTGTTAGACTGACGTGATAACCAACTACACCACGACACCTGTTTGTATTTTCTATCACATTAATTAATATCAAATCAATCATAAGACACGCTCTATGCACGTGGCGACCGCACTCGGAACATTTTTTTGGTACTCTTGACTCTTCCTCAACACACCTGCTGCATCCGAGTTTCACCGATGTCTCTCCTCGCTCTCTCGGCCGTCTTCCCCACTTATATCCATCGCCGCCCTCTGCTTCTTCTTCGTCCCTCCAGGGTTTTCTTCCTCTGCAAAATGTCGACCGATTCATCACCTCCATCTCTTACTCATTCCATCACGCTCCCGCGTCAACCCTCGGATTCCGTCCATGTCGCCGCCGGTCCCGGCGTCTCTGCCTCCGATTTCAGGCGAGTTATCTTCTCTACTCCTAATCATAGGGTTTATATTCCTGAACAAGCACAGAATTCATGTGTGGATCGAACGAAGGCTGGGTGGTTTCGAACAAATTTCCAACTTTTGGTTGGGTTTGTAGGAATGCGATTGATTCATGTCTGTTCAAGAACTGGCTGAATAATTTGCAATCGGAGACTGGAATCTTAGCTGATGAAGCAATGGCGTTAAAGCAAGTAGTTATTCAGGTGAATCGATCTCAATTAACTAAAAAATCCTTGCATTTATATTTATATATATGCTTATTTTCAAGGAAGTCTTATCAATATAACTGGATTCATGCCTTCGTTGAATGACTGGGTGATGGGAATGTGTTACGGTGTCTAGTTATATAGTGATTTATTGTTCTTTCGGATTCACTTGATGATCTTCCATGAATGATATTGCCGAAATTTTCAGCTCAGTTCATGTCGAAGGATATTGATCAGGGATTCTATGTCATCAGCAAAATATGTATTGTTATGTATACTCGTCATGTTTCATTTGCGAGGAAGGAATGGTTTGGATGTAGACTTCTTTTGGCACTGTAAAATGGGTTATGCAATGAGAGTGATGAATATGTTGAGTGTCATTTTGATTTATCCTTGAATTAGGGAGTTGATATGTTTGGAAACCGGGTTGGATTTCTCAAATTCAAAGCCGATATCTTTGACAAGGCGACTGGACAAAAGGTAACCTATTATCTTCTTGTATCAGTCTCAAGCATATTTTTTCTTCATTCCTATAAATACAATGGGTTGATTTTCAGATGTTTTACTGCTCCTATTGAACTTTTGGTTCTTTTCTTTACTATTTTCTGGCTTTTATGAGCAAAGACGTGGTTAGGTTCCAGGTATTGTGTTTGCACGTGGACCAGCCGTAACTGTGCTCATTCTCTTGGAGTCCGATGGTGAAACCTATGCTGTCCTCACCGAGCAGGTATTCATTTATCAGGAGATTGAGAGTTGTGAGAGATCAAGTTAAAGGTGGAAGATAAAAAACTGTTTGTTTCTTTGATGGTATTAAAGGTTAGGGTTCCTACTGGAAGGGTTGTTCTGGAATTACCCGCTGGGATGTTGGATGACGATAAGGGAGACTTTGTTGGAACCGCAGTTCGAGAGGTATCTCCCTCCATGCTCTGTTTCTTGCTGTCTTGTCTTCTCCCCTGGAAATTGACGAGAACGAACTTGATTTGGCATCAGCATGCCCTAGGCAAAATATTTTGAGGTCATGGAAAAATGAAACCCTGAAAACTTTTGATCTGGAGTATCTCACCCTCAGGGGTTAGTACCACTGCAAAGTGATTCTGGACTTAGTCTGTTAAAGACAAGCTCGGAACTCCAAATAAGCGAAAACCAAATTCAACAGAGCAGCAAACTTGTCCGGGACTTATGTTTGCCCCAATTTGCATGACTACTGCGCGATCTGTATAACAGGTGGAAGAGGAGATAGGTATAGAACTGAAAAAGGAAGACATGGTTGATCTGACCGCTTTTCTCGATGCATCTACAGGCCGCCGGGTGTTCCCTTCTCCTGTAAGTTCTAACCAATGCTCTACTGTCATAAGATAGCTGTGTAATCGAATTCCAACCTCGGGTAAAACCAATGTATACTGGTACGAAATTGTCGAATTTCTATGGAATCATTGTCTCTATGGAACAGGGAGGGTGTGACGAAGAGATCAGCGTGTTTCTGTATCGAGGGCACGTGGAAAACGAGACGATCAGACAGCTACAAGGGAAAGAGTCGACAGTTGGACTTGAGGAACACGGTGAGTTCATCAAGGTCCGAGTCGTACCGTACAGAGAGCTATGGAGAAGAACAGCTGATGCCAAGGTTCTTATGGCAGTCGGCCTCTACGAAATGGCCCAAAGAGAGGGCCTCCTCCCTCACCACCATTGAGTCTTTAATGTCTGTAAAGCTATAAATCATCTGTTCTTTTCTCTCGTGGAGAATTTGATCTTTGCCTGCGCACGTGCTGAGACTATCCCTCCACGTGTCCATCTCAGAATAGATGCCACGTCATGGGATCTCATATGCTGACATGGCGGCATCAAACTCTGTCATACATTCTCTCTCCAAAACCACAACAGAGTTATGGAGAGTACCTAAGCTCTGTCACTCTAATATGAGAAGTGGTTGGAGTACCTTTACATTGAAAAACCCCAACAATAACAAAGAAATTAATAATACAACAAGTTGATAAACATAAATAAAATTCTTAGTGGCAATTGTAAATTAACATATGTAATGAAAACCTACAGTAACAAACATGGAATAATTATTTAAGTATATGATTTGATGCTGACGTGGCGTTGATCAGAGGGAGAGAGAAATACCAGACACATGTCTGGGAACTTCCCTCCACACGATCCGACCACTCTTATCTCCTCGTTTTCCCTCCAAATGCCCAAAATCCATTGAAATAAATAAGCTAAAAAGAAATGAACCTGAAGCTCCCAGTAAAACCACCACAACCACAGGTTCCCGAGCTCATGGATTGTCCCGGAAAACAATAGAAAGCCATTTCCTTTTCCGTTTCCCGGAAAATGGGTAGCAAGATGGCCTTCACTTTGACAAGCCCTCGATTTTTCTCGTCGATTTCTCGCAAACCCACCACTTGTGTCTCTCCTTCTTCCCCGCCGTCTTCGAGGGCACAGTGTAGTAATCACTTCAGTCATGGAAGATCGGGTTCCGTCAGTCGAAGATTGTTCCTGTTGCCCACCAAAGCTACCACCGATCAATCGGGTCAGAATCCCGCCTCTGTTTCTCGATTTTGATTCCGTAACTGTGGCTCCGGAGAATGTTTACGCGGCGTAGATGTCAAAATCTGTTTCTGCTCTTCGCCGGAGCTGTTTATTTGGATCATCGGGTTGACTGTTTATTCGTAGAATGTAAATGAACCTCGGAGTTTTAGCCCTTTAGGTTAGGATTCTTCTGGCATCAAATTTAGTCCAAACTTTGGATTTTAAGAGATAATTGGGCGAGACCATGAGTTCTTTAATGGAGTAAACTAAGTTTTCTGGGTGTCGGACTGTGTTAAACTTTATCCGTCGTTCACAAAATATCCTCAGGATTGACCCATCAAGGAAACTCTTTGTTCATTTGCTAGGATTTCTGTTGGTCACTTCACTTGTCAAGGAAACTCTTTGTTCAGTGGCAACAAGTGAAAGGCAGATGCAAAAAGGATAATCATTCAAAGTGGTTTTTGGTTAAGAGACTTTAGGATAAGTTTTCAAAGTATTTGTCTGGTAGATAAACATACCTGTTCTTCGATTTCGATTTGGTGGTGTTTCATATAATATATCTCTCTGGTTTTCTCCGTTGATTAAATGCCTCTACTAAGAAAAGTCATTGTTGGATTGATTATGTATAACCCGCGATTGAAATGCTGTAGAAGTTTTCGCCCGATCGAACTTCAGAACGGTTGCATACGCTTGCCTTAGTTCCTTCTCCATTCTTGATCCATTCTTCAGGTCAGGTGGGAGGAGAGGAGGTCGATGGCAAGATTTTACCGTATTGTAGCATCAACAAGAATGAAAAGAAAACAATCGGTGAAATGGAGCAAGAGTTTCTGCAAGCGATGCAAGTAATGCAAGACGTTCTTGCCTTAACAATCTGATCCACTCGAAAGACGATTCAACGATTTTCACAGTCCGGGCTTTCTTTCGCATTTTTGTAGGCATTCTATTATGAGGGCAAAGCCATTATGTCCAACGAGGAGTTTGACAACCTTAAAGAAGAGCTAATGTGGGAGGGAAGCAGCGTTGTGATGCTAAGTAATGATCTATGATTATCTTTTACCCGACCCGCGTTTTTTTTATATGATATCTGTTCGCTTAGTCTCAAATTCTCGGTCTTGATCGCCTTCCTGTACACAGGTTCCGATGAACAGAGATTCTTGGAAGCTTCAATGGCTTATGTGTCTGGAAATCCACTCATGAATGATGAAGAATATGATAAGTTGAAATTGAAACTGAAGGTTTTGATCACTTTATCCTATTATTCTTAGTTTTACCTGTATATTGAAATTACTACCTGCATACTTACAATTTTCGGCCTTTTTTCCATAGATGGATGGCAGTGAAATTGTGGCTGAGGGTCCAAGATGCAGTCTCCGTAGCAAAAAGGTATTGAACAATATTTTAAGACACTGCCTGTGTCCATGCCTATGTTACGAGCAGTCGAAGTTCATGATCCACCTGCCCGTTTTATCTCCCATGGCTTTGATAGAAAATTTTCATCTTAACCGACTGGCTGTTACGGCAAAACATGTCTCAGTTACATTTCTCGCCCTTCAAAACCATTATATAGGTGATCATTAAGAAATTTCATTGTTCAGGCTCTGTTCGAAAACTATATGATAGTCTTGTACACTCCCGGTTTGCAGGTATACAGTGATCTATCCGTAGATTATTTCAAAATGTTCTTGTTGAACGTTCCAGCAACCGTCGTTGCCCTTGGACTGTAAGCATCTTACCATTTCTTTTCATTTCTCCCGAAAATTTGCTCGGCCCTTCTCAGTTATTGACATCATCTCTCTATCTCTTCAACGGGTTTCCAGGTTTTTCTTCCTCGACGATCTTACTGGGTTCGAGATCACATACCTTTTGGAAGTAAGTCTTCGTATTTTTCACCTCGTTCATGTTCAAAGAACATACTTTACGATGTGGAATATCTCTCTCTTAACTGTTGCCATTGTCGGATCTTAAACCTGCCAGCTCTCGGAACCATACAGTTTCATCTTCACGTGGTTTGCGGCCGTTCCTCTCATAGTTTGGCTGGCTCTATCACTCACCAAACTTATCGTTAACGATTTCCTGATCTTGAAGGTAGTTCGAAAGCGGTTTCTTTCGATTCCTACAAGTTAAATCTATGTATCGTCAACATGATACTGCTGCCTGTTCTTCCCAGGGGCCTTGCCCTAACTGCGGGACCGAGAACCTCTCCTTCTTTGGAACAATACTGTCCATCTCCAATGGCGGCAGCACCAACAACCTTAAATGCTCCAAGTAAGCTCCATAGATCTTGAAAATTCACAACCAAGAAAACTTTCAGCTCCTAGAATGTTGATTGATTCACATACTGACTACCTGGTATCGATTTTTCGGGTTTAGCTGTGGAACTGAGATGGTTTACGATTCAAAAACCCGTCTGATCACATTGCCAGAAGGAGGCAAAGCTTAAACCGAGGTATATGTACACATTCATCCCGTATATATACATGGAAAAATTGTACTTCTGGGTACTAACAGAGGAAAGAAGAGATAGTTTTGTGTTGTATACCTCAGATGTTACATAAGCTCTTGTTGATGGGCCCATGCATTTGTGTTCTGTAAGTAATGTGCGTCTGCAATGAGAGAATCACCACGAGATGAAATACAAAAATAGTATTTTTTTTTCCTGTTACATTTGTAAATCACCATGTTATTGTTTCATCTATGCATATGTGAAAGACAGCGATCATTACAAGATTATAAATGTATGGATAAGAACAATGGATGTCAAAGAACTCAAAAAATGGTGAAGAGACATAATAAAAAGATCCAATTCATAGTCAGAGGTTGGAAGAACAACCAAGTGGGGAACATAATGAGACCAATTGCTGAAAAAGGCAAAGTCTTACAATGTCCAGGAGGCATGCTCATGTCTCTTTTCCTTTTCTTCTTCTTTTACACATGTTCCTATTTTCAAATGCTAAAAGGAGTCATCATCATCATCCATGCCTTCATATCATTGACCCAATTCTCCTCCACCCATTAGACCTCTTGATCGCTTTGTCTTGTGGATTTAATCATACCACTCTAAAAAATGTCACTAATTAGAGGCTCATAATTATCTTTTAATTGCGTTTAAAAAATGCTATATTACTTGGATTTCTTATGTAAAACATGTCTGACTCTCTTGACATTTTGAAATGGAAATCAGTTACAGTTTGGTCAAATCTTTCAAAGTAAATCATGAGTTACATTACATAGGCAAATGATTATACAAGACCAAGATTGAATTTAATGGATAAAATAATGTCACGAGCCTAGGAAACTAAGCTTATGCAATGACACCTCTATGTAACAAAAGTCATGTCATGCTTGTTTTTTACAATTGTCTGAAAAAAAATTTAAAGATACAGCTGACATGAACTCTATGTAGAAACTCTCTCTCTCTCTCTCTCTCTTACAAACTGAAAGTTTCAAACTTTAACCCCCAAAGTTCTCAGAGTCGAGATCTCCACATCACATGGGAGGCTCATTCTTCATCACTTGCACACCGCTGTTCATCGTCGTCGCCGTCGTTGCCCTCATTCTTCTCCAATCTCCGAACAGAGCCGAGTCGCAGACTATCCAATCTGCGCATCTGCTCGATCTTCTGATCCGAGATTACACGTTCAGAAAATTCGACATACATCTGAAAACGGGCACGACCCAGAAAATCAATCTGCCGTTGAATTTCTCGGGAATCAGCATCGAAACGGGGAGGTTCAGATGCGGTAGTCTGAGAAGGTACGGAGCGCGTATCGGAGAATTCCATATGGGTCCAGGCACAATGGTTCAACCATGCGCCGAGAGAGTCATGGTCGTGAGACAGAACCTCGGTTCGAACTGGTCTTCTGTCTACACCACCGGTTTTAACTTAACCGGTTACGGTTTTGAGCTCGCTTCGTCGGTTCTCGGTTTATTGGCCTACAATGCCAACCCCGACGGCGTAGCTAACAACCCTTATGAGGTTAACATTCTGGGCACGGATCAAAACCCGATCTTGATCGATTTTTGGAACAGCAATGCAAGCAGGAACCCTAAAACGACGAATTTTTCCATCGCGTGTGCGAGCTTCACTAGAAATGGAAAGGCAACGTTCAGACAGCAAGTTTCGCCGTATGTATGCACTGGGACAACACAAGGGCATTACGCATTAGTGACAAAAGCTCCGAGGCCAGAGGAGAAAGGACCAGAAAACGGCGGCGGCGGCGGAGGAGTGGTGGATTCTCCGGAGGCCGCGAGAGGCGGCGGCAGCGGACTGAGCCGGTGGAAAGTGGCGGTGGGAAGCGTGGTAGGGAGTGGGATAGGGGCGTTTCTACTGGGGCTTTTGGTGGTGGCGATGGTGGTGAAGGTGAAGAAGAAAGCCATGAGAGAGGAGATGGAGAGGAGAGCTTATGAAGAAGAAGCCCTTCAGGTATCAATGGTGGGTCATGTTAGGGCTCCTACTGCTTCTGGAACAAGGACTGTTCCCAGAATCGATGGTAGGTATTGCGTTAACAATCTTCATCCTTCTTGATGGTAACTTTGTTCTTAGTTCATTTTTTTTTCCTTTTTTTTTTTTTTTGTTTTACCTTTGTTTGATTCTTGTGTTTATGGTTTCCAGAAAGAAAAAAAAATCTCTTTTTTGTAAGATCAATTTCATTATTCTTTAGGGAATTCATTAATCTGAGATTATCACTTTTATATATATGAATAAAGCATATATAATTCATGTATCGAAATCCAAGTTATGTTTGAATCAATCTAATGGCGATCGTAGATCCAAGATATTATTTATTGTTTATTATAATCTACATACTTTTCTTTTTTCACCTCTGCAAAAGCCACAACTTTTCAAATGCAAACCTTTTTTTCCCTTTTTGTTTATTTGATTATATATTATAGTTTATATGTAATATCATAAAAAAACTATATATTCAGTATCATTAATTCGCAAAATTAATTTTATTACACTAATTCATCTAAAATTTTAATATAATTATATTTTTAAAATTATTTAATTACCACGTGACCGTCAATTATTAGCTCATATGACAATATGATTGTTATATCATGTTTTTGTTTAACCCATCCAACACGGAATATGTTAAAAACGTTAATAATTATGTGTGTTCCATTATAATTTCAAAACAATTATGAATATATCTTGAGTTAAATACTATTTTTGTATTAATATCGCACTAATTTTTATAACGGGATGTTATGTTTTATTTAAAATAAATTACACGGTCACTTCGCGTCCAAAATTGTTTTTACCGTATATATATATATATACACAGTAGCGGACCGAGAATAAAATGTGACCGGGGTAACAATAAATTTCATAAGGATAGATTTACTTTTGTAATAGGCCAATTTAAAATTTTGTTAAAATTTTATAAGATTTGTAAAGAATTTTTTTAAAAAAATAAATAAATCAATGGGACCTGTGATCCCACTGTCAAAGAGTTAGGGCCGTCCATATATATATATAATTTTGTAATGGCAGAATCTATCTCGCAAACTTACGCATCGGACAATATCTCGGACAGTAATAAACCCTTCGACGACGGTCCGGCAACGGGAAAACAACATTAACCAAGTTAATTCATTAGCATGACTTATACTTCAAAAATAATATCAATATTCGTTCTATAAATTAAGTTAATTGTATAAATCATACAAATTATTTCTTAGTAAACATTTAAATTATAGGTATTATTGGATGTTTCTATATGATGTTAGATAATAATTTCACTTTTCCCCGTATGATGGTAGAGACATACAACTATTTTCATCGCATATAATATTAGAACAACTAAGGGCTCACGACGAGGACAAAAGCACCTATTGGGCCAAATACTAAGGCCCAAATAATTCAGCCCAATGTACGGATCCAGATTCTACCGGAACTTACTATAAACCCTACCTCACCTGATCCCTAACTCCCATCTCGCCAATTCCCTGGATTTGCCGGGAAGAATAAAAACGGAAAGATACAAAAAGGGGAAAATTAAAGATCACAGCCATTTCATCACTCGCCGCCATTGTTAAAAGCTCTCGCAAGAGAGAAGGAAAAACTTGCGAAAACCATGGAAGTTCCTTCGACAAGAAAACGAAAGGCATCCTCCGCTCAGCTGAATCTCCCGGAATCGATGACCCGACCGACATTCTCGACCCGAGACCCGTATTAATCGCCTGTTCAACGCCAATCGCTACACTTCACCGTCAAGGCCCGATACGCCGGAGAAGAGGGATGTTGCCGGATTCTTGCCGTCGCAGAACATTTTCAGGTATAATACGGAGACGCAGTGGTCTGTGAAATCGTTCTCTCCTTTTGGGTCCGATGAGGCGCCTGGTGTTAGCCATAGCCCGGTCGAGACGCCGAGGAAAGTGCCGCGGTCACCGTGTAAGGTGCGTGGTTTTGTTTCTTGGTGGAGTTTTTGTGATTCTTTTATGATCCAGAGTAGCTTCTGGGTTTAGGGTTTGTGGGTCTTTTAATTGTCGAACACGGCTTCACAAAATGTGGATTACATATCTTGTGGTTTAGGCATATCTTTGACTTTTTTTTCAATTTGATCCCAATGTTCATCTTTCTTGTATGTAAGTACGAGGAATTTGTAATGTAGGGTTGGATTATTGGTTATGCAGTCTTGAAGAATGATGCAGAATGATCTGTAATTGAACAACACTTGGTATTTTCTGGTTTTCACTATGTTCATAGATTTGATCAATGATATACAGTACTGTAGGATTTTGTGAATGTGGGCAATGTCTGAAAGAGATGATGAAACACAGAAACCTCTTCCACTTCATGTTGTTAGGTATTGGAAGCACCGTCCCTGCGAGATGATTTTTATTTAAATCTGGTGGATTGGTCTGGACATAATGTTCTTGCAGTGGGACTGGGAAACTGCGTGTATTTGTTGGATCTATGTCCTAGCAAGGTGAGTTTTTTCCCACTTCTATAAACTTAACTTATGCATGAAGAATGAATGGTTACCAAGCATTTTGAAGGGGACATCTTCATTTTTTGTATCCAGGTAACTAAATTATGAGATCGTGGAGTTCATGACAGTGTGTGCTCAGTTGATTGGGCGTTAGATGGAACATATCTGGCTGTTGGAACCAGTACCGGAAAAGTACAGGTTATAGATGATCCTTACATCATGGATATGCATTCTTACATATGTTCGGTCCTGTAGTATGTGTATATGCGCGTTAGTTTTTGGTTTTCTGAATTGGGAAAGAGCATTTTATAGGGAAACTATGTAGAATTATATGGTTGGAATATAATGTCCAAGTTTCTGAAATAGGCATGGCGTAGATGACATTGTTTTTTTTTATAACCGAGCATCCAGGGCCGAAGCCCAGACTAATCCTGGGGCCGGGAGCCAGCCACGTGATTTGAATTATATGCTCCCTCCCCAACTTGAGGCTCGAACTCGGGATGGGACAAACGCTTTGCGTCTCCGTTTCACCGGTTGAGCTAACCAAGTTGGGTGTAGATGACATTGTTGCAAAGGCGGTAATGGCAGCCATGTACTTATACATTAAGGGATGCATTACATTTCTTTTAATGGAAGATAGTGCATGTTCTCCAAGTCATGTTAATGATCCATTTTTGAAAACCATTCATACACTCTCTGGTTTTACTTATGTGGGGGAATTTGTTTAGTATGGCTTTCTGACAAAATATACTGAAAAATGTGTCGTTTTCCATTCAATCGAATAGCGTATATGTAGACAGCGTTCAAATCCTATTTGGAAACCACAAAACTAATATGTATCTGTAATATGTCCCGATAATATCAGAGATATTGTATATAGCTCTAGTACTTTTCTTCAGATTTCTGGCAGTCTATGCAATGTTCTTTGTAGAGAACTCTAGCTTTTATTTCTGATATATAGATATGGGATGCATCTTGCTGCAAGAGAACAAGAACAATGGGAGGTCATCGTCTACGAGTTGGAGCCCTAGCGTGGAACTCATCTGTCCTGTCTTCCGGTGGCAGAGACAAGAATATTCTTCAAAGAGACATATGGACTCCTCAAGATTATGTTAATAAGCTCGCGGGACACAAATCCGAGGTCTGCGGCCTGAAGTGGTCGTATGACAATCGTGAGCTAGCTTCGGGTGGAAATGACAATATGGTATACACACACACACACACATTTTACATTTCGTATTGTTTTACATCGTCAGAAGCATAATTCTCTTCTCTGGTTAATAAATTTAAGCAGTTTTTGGTATGGAAACAACATTCAACTGAACCAGTTTTGAAATACAGTGAGCATACAGCAGCTGTGAAAGCCATCGCATGGTCTCCCCATCTTCATGGACTTCTTGCTTCGGGTGGCAGGTGCATTCGGTTCTGGAACACGAGGAACAATACTCAATTTAAGTTGCACTGACACCGGCAGTCGGGTAATAATGTTTTCTTTTCTATTATCTTCCATATATCTGTTCCTTTAACACACCCGGAAACAGCCAGCATTCTACTACAAATCTGATCCTCGGGTAAACCCATTTTCTCTGCATCTCTTCACAGATACAAAAAAAAACATGCCATGCGTTTTTTTGTTTTCACCTGGCAAAAAACGACGTTCGTTCATTCACTCATGTGCAACAGCCTCGGTGTCTGAACAAGAGTGTCTTGGAATGTATGAAACCGACACCACCGTCTTTTGGCTTCATATTATAAATTGAGAAACGTGAAAGTCATTGTGGGTTGGTAGGGTTGATTGATCATTTTGGGGTTCTTTTTTGTTTGGTTTTCAGTTGGCTTATTTTGAGTTCCCTTTATTCGAAATCATAATGGAATTTAAATTAAAATGGCTCCATTATAGAACAGTTTGATTCGGTTTTAGCAAAATAAAATTATAATTGGACGGTTCGATTAAAAACATACAACAACAAAAAAGAGAAAATTCACAAAAGGAAAAACCCAAATCTTATTTCGGAAAAAAAAAAAGCAATAACATAGAACAACATTTTTAAAAACCAAATGATATTTTTCATGTCCTAATTTAAATGTCAGAAATAAAATAATAATTTTTTACAATCCAAACTAATAAAATAAATATACAATAGATCTTAAAAAATAAGATTGTAATGGAGATGTAAAAAATTATGTTGTTAATCTTTCTATCATAATGTATGATGTATATATATATATCAACCCAAAGGTAAAATTAGAATGAGGTAAAGAAATAATATACACATTAAGTAAAAATTAAAAAAATCAAATTAGTATTTAATAACTATTTGATTATTTGAACCGAACCGAATCGAAACGGTTATTTCTACTCGGTTATTTATTAAATAAATAGTCCAAGTGAATAGAAACGATTTGATTGAGTTCGAATATTATGTGGTCACCTCTAGTGCTTGGTGGTACTGAGCCAAGCAAGAAGTGGGCACTGCTCTCGTGTCTGAAAATCCCACATGCAGACAAAGGCTGCTTCACCACTGCTTTTTTTTTAAAAATTTATTTGCATGCACGTTTTTCTTCCCTTCACGTGTTTTCTGGATTTATTCGACCGACTATAATTCGATTCAAAAATAATATCATAGGGTCCTTTTTCTAACGTGTGATTCATCCAGTAACTAATTACTTAAATCTCATGCTAAAGCCGGATAGTAAATGTGTTAATGGACCCCATCTTTCATCAATTGGTGGAATATTATTTACTATTGTATCACTCTGCTCTTCAATATTGAAGAAACATATATGTATATATCAAGTATCTTCACAGTTAATACTTGTCTAATGGGTAATAAAACATAGAATTTAAACCATACCATCACCAACATAACAAGAAGGAAATTTCCTTTTTGTTTTCTAACCACCAAAAAAGAAAAAATAAAACAGCCATAGCCATCAACATCATCACCAGCAGTGCTCCGGCTGAACCGTGCAGTAACAGCTCCGGTCACAGGAATCGCAACTGCCCTCTTTATCTCCTCCTCCTCCTCCTCCTCCCCCATCGTCACGGCTGCAGTCAGATCTGACCGATGGGAAACAACAGTCGCAGCCATCCCCGCACGGCGGCTCCGGCGGCTCGCCCGGAAGGAGTTCACCAGCCTTGCCGCCGCTTTCGGACGATGCAGCCCACCAAAGCGGGCCCCAGCACTCGACCTTGTTGTACTCCGGGATGTTGGAATGAAAGTAGACCCAGACTAGGGCTTCTTGTAACTCGGGATACTTGTTCAGCAAGTTACCATCTCCATGCACAAACGCCTTCAGCACCTGTAATTGACAATCCCCGAGCTCTTTTAGGGTTTATAAGACTATCTTGGGTTACTTGAATCTCAAGAAAAAAAGGGGTTTTACCACTGGCAATTCTTTGCAGAATATGAAGTATCGGAGCTTTGCGCAGAGGTCAAGAAGGAGATGGCCTCCACTAATGTGACAGTGAACGTGAAGTGACATTTTCCCTTTCACTTACTTCCATTCGGCCACCACTTCATCCCTGTATAACCTGTTTGCCCATCCCTGCAACTGTACAAAACACGTAAAAATACGAAATGGGTACGAGTTAAAAACGATATATATATATATATATATGCAACACACATGTATTTACATGCCAGTATATGAATAATACCTGAGAGTTGTTAATGGAATGAGAAATGGCTAGAGTTAGTTTAGCGGAGATATCGCTGTGAGTGAGTGTGTAAGTTCTTGGCAGAGTTGACGGATGCTTCTTCTCGTCGACCCCTAAGAACAGCACTTTTAGCTTGGAAGCTTCGAAAATGGCCGGTCCGAACAATCTTGCAACCTGAAACAATGACCAACCAAAAATCCAGAAATGTTATGCCGGGATTTAGACACAGAGACATGAGATGTCTTTTGGACGGGATTGGGTTTTTAGGAGAGAAGCCAAAGAAACGGGACCCAAGTGAATAAATGTTGGTTCGAGAATGGGAACTTGGATTTTGATCTCCTGGATTTTTCCAGGAAGAGAACAGAGCTTAAGAGGAACTAGTCAAGAACGACCCAAAAGGGAAAGAACATGAATTTGCTTGGGGGAAAGAGAAAATAATAGTGAAGGATTGAAATTTGACCCAGGGTTTAGAAAGTTCGAGAACAGAGTTGACAGTAGCTGACGACGAACAGGAAAGATCGGAAATTTTCCCAGGAAAATGATCGAAACCTTACAGGAACGATGGATTTGTTCTTCCTCTTGGATCTTCTACTGGTGATGAAGAGCGAGCTGCTCGGTTTCAGCTTTACAGCGAGCAAGAGATTCGCCGCCAAACTACACATCCCTCCCTAGTAATCTCTCTCTCAAAGATGCGATTTTGCAGATGCGGGCGACCAAAAAAAGCCCTAAATACAGAAACCCTTCGGCGAGATCGATCAAATTCTTGCGTGTTCAACACTGGAAGCCAATCAAAGCTTGAAACTTTGAACCCAAATCAAGCCTGCTTTCCCTTTCAATCTTTGCGCTTATTTACGGTTTTTGCTCTCTTTCCCCCCTCGACTTCTTACATGAATTTAGGGATCTTTAAGCGCGTAGCATTAAACGATCACCGAAGCAGGTTTAAAGAGTTTGCTTCTGTGTAATGGATCTGGACAACCGGGGAGAATGGCACGTGTCTTACGTTTTTCACGTTGCATGAGTGCGCGCGGGAACGCGGTTATGAACCGAGGCGTACAAGTGGCTCGAAGAGTCTGTCTTTTTCGGTCCTTCTCGGTCTCGTATGGATAAGCTCGCACCGGTCGGACCACACGGCTCAATTTCGGTTCCGGTTACGGCCTTACTCACATTCACCGAGTCCTACAAGTAGGAGTGTCAACCGGGGTGGGTCGGGCGCCGGCATTCGGCCCGATAATTTCGAGTTCCAAATTAGGTCATCCCGATTTTTTTAGGATCAAATAACCAAATCCAATGTCCAATCCTACAGACTTCGGGTCTAGACCCGTCCAGCTAAATTTATTTTTTTAATTTCTTATTAAATTTTTTGAAAAAATTCAAGCTTTTGATAGAAATATTTAGATCCGAAATCCGCTATTTTTCGTGATAGATCGGATCGGGTTTTGGGCCAAAATTGATTCCCTACTTATAAATGCGAAAACGTTGCAGTTTTGATCCATTAATTTGGTGTGAAATTCTTATCCCAAATTTGCAGATACGATATTTCAAATATTTTAGAGATGACGAGATTGATGTCGGATTTGACGAAATGATAGATTCGAAAAACCTGGACTCGAATTCTATTATTTTTTGAGAGATATTTTTACAGATACTGAATATTTGAAAAATAACTAAAATATTCTTTTTTTTTTGTTAATTTTAAGACATTTACAAAAATATCTGTAGATATTTTCATTATAAATCTAAGATAAAATGATATAAATCCCCACCAATTGGTTCAAATATGTACAATCAATACACAAACATTTGTTTTTTATGGTAAAGCACAAACATTTAATCCGACAATAATCTACATTTGAATTCAGAATTTGCCATTTTCCTACACCAAATCAGAAAATTGCTAGTAATTTGCCATGCGATTTAAAATCACGGTGAATTTCCACGGAATCCGGGCACTGGAATTCCGACATGGCATACCAAGTAATCAATAACAAGCCACGTAAACCGACACATCATCAACGTTAAACCATTGTTCGGTTCGGTAATTTAAAAAAGACCCCTTGGGTCGTATAACATGAATTAGATTATGCAAACTGAGGGTGGATTATTCACCATAACTACTACTAATTGATATTTTATTTAGAAATTAATAAAAACATGTAAACAGATCACATATACATATACATATATATAGTAGATAAAACTCAATAATTTATTCGAGTTTTCGAAATTTTATGCGAGGATACCAAATAAGTCGACGTCCATACATTCGTTAAGATCCTTTCTTTTTCTCAAGAGAGAGAGAGCGGAATAGAAGAAATTAAATTAAGCTCCTTTTTTTTTTAATCAATTTCCTGCGTTTTTTTTGGCAGGTCTTGTCTCGGGGGGCCCAATGAACAAATCGGTCTCCACTTCCATGTCATCTATCTTCACTTCTTCTACTTGCTTTGCCTGTAATAACGCTCCTCTTGCCCCCGTCTCACACTTCAAAACATTCGTAAAATTAACGCCCATCTATACAAAGTATGTAAATATGTAATAATATGTAATCACACTGCTCATAATATATATATAAACAGATGAATCGACACCCTACATATGAGAGTTAATTGGATCTTTGAGAATTATATATATATATTCATATATCGAAAAAGATATCTGATTAGCAATTTTTTTTTATTGTGGAAGAAATATATATATATATATATATACACACACTCCATGTACACGGATATATGGAGTAGCTAGTCAGTAGAAATTATACCTCCTCCTTTAGCTTTTTGTTTTCTTCAAGTAAGTTCCTCTCCTGAGATTTTGGAAGAGAAACATAAGTGTTCAAAATGCAAGTATAGTTTCCATCTATATAATACATATATACTGCAACATGTATACACACACACATATATATATATACGCCGATTGTATATGAATCTTACCTCTTCCTTCAACTTCTCAATCTCTTCGCGGAATAACTGATACTGAATGATAATCACATCACAAGAAAACATCACGAATAAATTACAACATATAATACGCATTTATGTGTGTGTGTGGATTTACATGCACATATTCAAACAAGGGTATACATGCATGATGCATACTGATTAGGGCTTATATATTAATGTTTTTAACCATCCTGTTCTTCTTAATTATAAGCACGTATAATTGTATAAAGATGTGACTGTATATATATCAATCACATTACAACTATAATTGCTATATGCCTGCTAATGCGTCATATATACACACACAACAAGCGACCAATCAAAAATGTAGATTGCTTAATAATAGTCCTCGATCATGATAATTATTCTAATGTTTTATATAGTAACATATACGTTATCACAATCACACTATATATATAAAACTTGTAATTTTTTTTTAATTACCTTTTTGGCTCTAATTTTGGTTAAGCCTCGTTCCAACTGGTTCTCCAGTTGTTGGAGCTCCTCGATAGAACATGCCTCGAGTCCTTCTCCAAGCATTTTCCTGCTTATTTATAGTTTTTTTTCGGAACAAAAAAGATTAATTTCAATCAGAATAGTTTTCGGTTTTGAATGGAAATATAATTTATTTGCATGGATCGTCCGTATAGTTTTCGATTTTGTATAAAAACCGTTTCGAAATCTCGAGCTGTTCAATCTTTCTCGCCAAGCCATATGTTTCATCCTTTGCTGGCTGCCAAGTGAATAACCATAGTCCATAATGTGACAGATGAAATACAAAGAACGTAAAATTACGGCTATATGAAATAATTACAGCCCTAATCCAAAATATATCCCAATTACACTATGAATCGATCTATCATAAAATATCATCATTTTTCCCACTACGTATAATGCATGAAAAATGAAAATGGGAGCATAACAAAATAATGAAATTAAAGCTTATATATAGAGGAAAAGAAAATTTACCTGTGAATTGACGTTCCCCTTACTGTTAGTGATCGCGAGATCTTTCGTCCGTTTTTGGTAGCGGTCTATTGTTTTTGTTATGCTGAAATGCCATTAGAAATCCATAGCAAAACATTTAAGATATTATTCCCAATATGTAAATATTTCTATCTATCTATATATATATATATATATATATCAAATCTAATTAATATATATATATATATATATATATACAACAAAATGTTCTGGTTTGAATTCTATACGGTTAAATTTATACTTTCACATTTGAGATATCTTTATACATATATGTATCATGTAAAAAGAGAACCAAGAGAATCATGAAGCCATGTATAGCATAACGTATAGTATATATGGTTCCCCAAAAGCTAGGATATGATGTTTAATTAGTTTATGATTCAACACGTCAGATGTACATATATACATATACATACATATACACACATGTGCATATAGAGGAGTGGACAGATGCATATGGATGCGTAGTCTGGAGATGTTGAAATTGATAATTATGGCCTTTCAATGATATAAAAACATTGGGTTAACCACTAAACGTATGGTCATTAACGCCTAGTTAATTGTGATTAACCTCTTTTGGGGTGCTTTGAGAGAACATCAAAAGTACAAGCATATATATATATATATATATGATACGCAATTCTTTCTACTGTATATATGTATATATATATATATATTATAACTAAATAAACCCAAAAAGTATATAGATTAAAAAAAAATAGAAGTATAGCATAAAAAGAATAAATATACTCTGATCTGATTCTAGACACATGCTGACTCTGACTGTCATTGCTTAAATAAAGGTCGCTTCCCTCTGAGGGCGAAAAGTCTAGCAACTCCCTCTTTGTTTCTTCATACATGTACATTTAGGGATATATATATACATATACATTTAGGGATATATATATATATATATGAGTGTGTGTGTGTGTGTAAATTGAAAGGAGATCTATATAACCAAAGGAGTGGCTCCTCATATAATGTGATCATAAAAAATGAAAGCTTCATCACTTTCAAAAGTGTAAATCGAAACCAAAATAAAATTGGAGTTTTCGATAAAATAAAAGATCGTCTAGATCAACCGATGAAGAACTCTAAATTCAACAATATAATATGCTATATGTTTTCTTCTCTACGATTAATCGATGTACAATAATTGTTGGGTCAGTCCATGTAAAACTGTAAATTTAACAATATAGTATGATAATATATATCTCCTTTCTATTAAAAATGGCATACGGTCATATATACATGTATAAATGAGGAAGTACGAAATAATGTGTTTCCATACAGTTCAAATACATATATATATATACGCATACAAATCTAAGACGTATAGGTGTTTATACGGTTATTGGATTATATGTATTCATGATATATATATACACACACTAAGCAATATGATCCACATAGAAATTCGTGACCATAGCTCTCAAATTTCAGTATCAAAACAAATCTTGATTTTGTGTGTACACCATTTGATTTCATAGCACAATTTTGTGAGAATGTATAGTCCCATCCTTGAAATAGAGGTGAATACCCATCACTTGCAAGTGGCAAGTACATTCATCTATATAGAGACAGTACGTACATACATATGTATATATATATATATACTGACACACATATAATTGTATACAGTTATATCGGGGGGTACATATATAGACAGACCAACACATAGATACACTCGCCTCTAAAGAGGCAAATTATATGATTCCAAATCCGGTTGTTTCGAGAATTTTTTTTAAAAAAAAGAATACATATATATATCTTATGAAAAATCATAATATTTGCCCAATTGGAAGTGGGACTGTTTGCCCTAACCGAACCCTATATATATGCCCAAAGTTAATTGCCACGTATAGATAGCATTTATGAAGTGTTTGGTGCTATTGACATAAATGGATAATGCTTTTCACATTGAAAACATGAAGAAAAAAAGTTTCACAGAACAATGAGCACACGTCAGTGATCACTTATCTACTTACACGTCTTAAGATATACACATATATATATACATAGATGCACATTATAATATATATATATATATACACACACACTTATATACACCATACACATGAAATATTACGTGCATATATACGACATCTATACACATGAAAGTGTGAGATTACATATACAAGGACAGCTGATTTAGTTAAACCCAAATTATTTATAACTCTTATGTCTAGTATTTACTTTTTTTTTCTTGGGTCGGAATAAGAATCGATCCCTCTTTATCACTAAATTAGTACCATTATAAACTAAATATATATCGAATTTACCTTATATGTATGGCGATCCGATATGATGATAATTTGCAGATTCAGACGAATATTGGACCCGATCTAATCGATGTCATGTTCAATGAAGTTCGAAATTTTCCGAGCGATATGGGATCTTGATATATGTATGGCATATATATATATCCTAATCAACATGAGCACATACTCGCATATACATACATACATATATACACACACATGTGCGTATAAGTTTAATTAGAGGAAGGGATCGAGCAGATACCTGGAGCTGGAAAACTCGTATAGTTTTCCTCTGGGGGAGAAGATGATTAGGGCAACCTCGGCATCGCAGAGGACCGACAATTCGAAGGCCTTCTTCAGAAGCCCGTTTCTTCTCTTGGAGAAGGTCACTTGCCTGCTTGTCGCATTCTCTATCCTCTTCATCTCCGTCTTCCCCCTCACCATTTCTCCTTCTGATTTCTCAGATCGGTGGAAAGAAGAAGAAACTGTGATGAGAATTAATCAGAGGGAAGAAAGGGGAAATCCGCGCAGGGAGGAAATTAGATCGATTATGAGTCAGGCATCACGAGGAACGGAAACAGATTTTGGATTTGAAATTTCTCGCTGCAAGAAAGAAAAGCAAAGAAAAGAAGAAGAACATGAAGCACGAATAGGAGGAGAAGAAGAACAATAACTTCCAATTATAGAAAGGATTGTTCAAGAAACTGAGACAGATTTGGAAAAAAAAACTTACCCTTGTTTTATATGTATGTGTGTTGTCTGATTGATCTGCGCCTGATTTGATATGGAGAGAGAGAGAGAGAGAGAGAGAGAGAGGGAGGGAGACTTCGGGAAGAGATAAGTCTCAGTTTGCAGAAAGGAATTGGCAAATTCGTTGAAAACCCTAGATTTATGACGAAGAGGGGGAAAATAAAGTGAATCATTTTTCTCAATTTAAAAAATCATATTTATTTTTTCTTGCTGCAAATGATGGGTTTTTTTTTTAATTTAAGCAGGAAATGATAGTTTTTAGTTTTTTTTTATATGCAAATTTCTCTATAGCTATAATGGTGTCTATAACCCTAGAAATGGGCTTTAGAGTACGGAATATATTGATTGTGGAAACAGCATTACATAATATCTTTCTTCTTTTGGTAAAATTTGTGATGTAAAGGCCAAGATAATGAAAATAAAAGCAACAATAATTCCTGCAGGAAGAATAAGTTCCAAGGCCTCATTGACACTAATGGTAAAAAAATATAATTTACTTTTTCTTTTGGATTTTAAAATATATTTTGGTAGCATAAAGACCACTCGTACAGCGTTTATAATTGTTTAAAGAAGATATTTTTCTAGTTTTTTACCATTCAGAAGAAAACAGTATATTTCCCTATTTATTTTTCTTTTTTTAACCTATTTTCATGAATTCGTGATCTTTTTTAATACATACTAATCAGTAGGTGAAAAGTTTATTTATTTACTGCCCAACCCCTAATTCTATTTGATGTAGGTTTAAACGCCAAGTTTGGTATGTAATTCAAAGGAAAATACAATATAGACAAGTAAATATGTACGTGGATACGTATATACACACACACACATACGTTACGCGGCATACGTATGCATATACATGTCGACAGACGGAGACGAGAACCTTAGATTATGATGCTTAATATAGTATCGGTGAATCGTGATTAATTAGTGTGACGTTGCAGATTTTACCTCTTCAAGGTAACAAGGAGGTAAAGGAGAAGGAAGGAAATGAACGGATGAGATCGAGACACGTGTCAAGATTAGCGTACAACCTGCAGGGCCGGTGTCCGTGAAAGTGAGTTAGAACCAAAGAGTTTGAAGACAGCCAGCAACGCTGTCGGTTGCCAGCGCCTCTCGGACAAGATTCTTCACCACTCACTTTCTCTGTAACGAGAAAAACATTAAGTATTACATTATAAAATTTTATAAAATAAAAATTATAAGATATTTGTAATCATAGGTAAAAAAATATTAATTAAATCGTTACCTAGTTTAGATCTACATAAAGTGAAGCAAATTCGATGCTGCTAAGAGAATAACAAAAGGCAACAATATTGAAAATAAATTATAAACGGTGATTTTTATTGTATTGAATTGAAAAAGTTATTTTATTTTCCACACAATTATAAATAGAAAATTAAATATATAACGTTTTTTTTTACATGGATGAAATTCAAATGGCCCGTCGGTACAAATTATAACAACGACCATACCGCGCCGTACAAAATGAAACAGTGAATGACCAATGATATAATAACACGTGTTCTTAAGATTGTACCTTGTCACGTGGTGGCTCCCTGTTTGGTGCGTTTCTTAATCACTGCCTATGTTTTTTTTTTACTTTATTCGTTTTTTTTTTCTTATTTTTCATTTTATTTTTGATAATATAGACGGCAAGTGGGCATCCACTATTGGATACTTTAGGGATATTTAATAATATATTTCTCGTTACAGGTGTCACACGCTTGGAGGACCACATGCCTTTCAGTGGTCGCCCTTTGCCTGTTGTTTTTATTTTTTTATTTTTTTTTTGTTAAAAGTTTTTATTTTTTTCGAGGAATTGTATTTTGTGTATTTTTATTTTCTAACTTTATCATTTGATGTCTCTCATTTATATTATAATTTATAAACTAGATTTATATTTTCATATTTTTAATATCAAATTTATTTTTCTAAAAAATTGATCCGTTCGATATTTATATATATAGTGAAACATTAAAAATTTATCCAAAACATCATATTTAAGGACCACAGGAATAATATATTTTGATTAAAGGATACGTTTTAAAATAAAAATTATTACCATGCATGATTATCCTGATATGATTTATATTTTTTTGGTATATTATATTACCATCTAATCGGGTATTATAACATGTGAGATGGTTATCAAAACTTCAAAAATTTCGAAGGTTCAACTTTTTTTATTTATTTATAAGATGAAGGTTCAAATTGAAAGGACAAAACGCATGGAGATGAAAAAAAAATGTGATTATTTAAGAGGGAAATAGGTTGGAGCATCCATTGTTAATAATGCTTTGCCCATGAATCCAAACATTTAATATATATATATATATATACGCATGAAAATTAATGATGTTTATGGTGTACGAAATTTAATGACAAACTATGGCTCCAATTTTTCTAATTTTAATACATGACCGGGAGAAAATTTGCATTTGCATTTTGTGACCACAAAATAAAAAAAACTCAAATGTATTTAAGCCCAAAAAAAAAGTGTCAAAGACAGTGAGCTTTTCTTGAGTTGACTGGTAACTAAATAAGCCGTGGAATCAGCCCATTAGGCTAATTTTTTTTAGCCCAAATCTTAATTTAATATTTTAGATTAATGGGCTGAGTTTTTAATATTCTTCTGGGCTTCGTATTGAATAACACCCACTATATATATATATATATGGCTTATTTATTTATTTTGTCCAAACACACTAGAAGACAAAATTCAATAAAAAATATCTCTAATATATCGTATAAACACTCGAGTTTCTAAATTATCAAATAATCACGTCAATTTGATCTATTTGGTACTAAGATATTTACTTAGCAATTTGAAAATTAAGGTATCTGATTAAGACATTTTTTTTTGTATTTTTATTGAATTTTTGAAAACGTTTTAAAAGGAGTATCAAATTGTCATCTCAAGGGAAAAAAAACAATTAAAGTACTAAAAAATGCTTGCAGCAAATAATTAACACAAACCCGAAATTTCATGTGATTTTTCTTAAATTGTTTTTTTAGTATTATTTGCTTCATAAGTGAATTTGGTATATTTTATTTTCAAAAGTCTACGCACAAGTGGTTATGGTCAAACGGGTCCACACGAGCGGCTGACGTCATCTCTCCAACAATCAATTTTATTAATGAAACGTGCCGTGCATTTACATTTCACAAAACTATAGGAATAAGCAACACGAAAATAGAAAATATATATCTGATTTTCCCATTTGATGCCATTTATTTACACGAAGGAAATAGAAAATTTCACTATCAACGGAACTTTCGATCCCTAAAAATAACTTTATAATAAGTCAAACTAATTCTCGAAACATACATAAAATATGCAACGGGTTAGTTGGGCTTTAATTATCATTATGCATCGATCTAAAAGCATGTGTGTATATATATATTATCACATAATTATATCGATATTAAATATCCACCCTTATCTATCATATCATATAACTAAATTAGGTAATTTCATATGGGTGTTATGTAAATAGACATGGCATGCTTGTAATAACTTATGTTTTTTCCTGCAATTAGCATAAACTTAATTTGCAATTTAATTGGAACGAAGGGAACGTAAATAACAGATTAATTCTCAATAAATTGATTAGTTTTTACGACCTATGGGTGTAAGAATTAATTATGGACACGTAAATCATCGATACATAAAATCATTTCTCTTTTTCCGATAAGAAGATTCGCTTTAAAGATTCCGGTTTGTGAATCCGGTTCCGGTTTGTTAAGAAATCAAACCGGAATTGACAATTGAACCGACAGGTGGTTTATCCATCAATTACGAAACAATTTGAATGACAATACAGATGGTTGCTATTAAAATCAACGCAATTTTCCTTATTCCAGTACAAAGTTGCATTATATCATGAGTATTAAATTAATTTAATTACTATATACTGGAAACGGTACTAGCTCGGTTCAATAATCGGTGCAAAAAAAAAAATTAACCGATGAGCATTTGGCCATACCGAAATCGATTGGGTTAGTTTCGGTTTGGTTTTCTGGTCGACCCACTTCACTTGCAATCTGCCGATGTAAATTGAATTCTCGTCTCCATTTCTCGCTCGCTTGCCCGGATCAGGAGAATTTTTCTCCGGAAATATTCCAGTTTCTCTTTCGCCGCTTCGAGGTTCGAATTTGACTTTGGATTTTGAATTCTCTTTGATCTTATTGAATCATCGATGGCGACCGCTTCGTCACCTTCTCCTTCAACCCCTGCTCCGTCTTCTGGTTCTCCGAGCGAAGAGTCGCGGACGAAGGACCTCGAGGCGAAGCAGCGAGAGGTGGGAAAGGAAACTAAGGAAGAGGAGGTCATGTACAAGACAAAGACGATTCAGTTCCTCGGACGAACAACGCCTATCATTCTCCAGAACGAGAATGGACCTTGTCCCCTGCTAGCAATCTGTATGTTCATCCTCGTCTCTCTCGTTTTCATCCTCTTTTTCGTTGCTAGGGATTTGTAATATCGTTTAGGAGATCCGAGGCTGATAGTAGGTGGAATTCCGGTGTTGATTTTCTTTCTAATTTAGTTTTTTGGCGTGATTTTCGGTTACGGATTTGTATTTGGAAAGAATTGGCGTTAGGTTGAGTGGTGGAAGAAATGGTGAAGTTGCGGTGTTCGTCATTTGACACATGATATGTTCGTTTCCGTCTTGTTGCGTTTCAGAATTTTGAGTATCGTTAATTTCCATCTATTCCTCTTGGGAGAGAGAAGCGATTATTTGGGTTTTAACATTTCTATGTTCATGCTTTTCGCGTTTCTGACAAGTTTTTAGTTGCTTTATGAAATGACTGTCTCAGTTTTTCAGATCTTTTCCGGTTGAATCACCGAAATGTTTGTGAAACTTGAGACATATACAGAAGGTATTCGTGGTTGTTTGGTGTGTGCTTATGTTCTGGTAGCAAAGTAGTCCACTGCTTGGCTACATACACTTTTGCTATAGTTAGAGTGCCTATATTTATCTCCACCTGTTCTGAGTTTGTTCATATTCTGGCTATTGATTTCTTATCATATCTACCATTCAGCCTTAATGCTTTGGTTGTTATTGATTTTTGGATGCAACAGGTAATGTTCTTCTCTTGAGAAACAACTTGAATCTGAATCCCGACTGTTCTGAGGTCTCTCAAGAGAGACTGCTTTCGCTTGTGGCTGAAAGATTGATCGATTCCAATAGTAACATCAATGTAATCAGCTGACTTATTTGTTGGAATTAGCAGTGTCATCTGATGGCCTGAGTATACAAACCTAACCTTCTTTTGCTTTTCCATGACAGAACAAAGACAAAGAATATATTGATAATCAACAACAAAACATTTCTGATGCCATTGATCTCCTCGAACACCTTGCGACTGGAATTGATGTCAATATAAAATTCACGAGGTCAATGTTGTATATGTGATTTGGTCATCCCTGTTCCTTGTACTTCTGTAGAATTCTCTTATCATAACTCTAAATGTTTACTCGCTTGCAGGATCAATGATTTCGAGTTTACACCTGAATGTGCTATATTTGATTTACTTGACATTCCCTTATATCATGGATGGATAGTTGATCCCCAGGTACATCACTTTTTTGTCACTTTCCTCAGTTGCTTTATCCATTTGTAAATCTTAAAATTCCCCCTGACACAAAATTACGCAAAACATTGATTGTAGAACATTAAGACCCATCTGATTCTTCTGTAATTTTTTCTCCTTTCTTTGTGCGTGTCTGTGTCCATGTCCATGTCATAGGGCTGGAGTTTCGACATATGTTATTTTCTTTTGACTTATGACTAAAACGTAGATCATTGTCCTGATTCTCAGAGTTTCTGTGTTATGTTTCTTTTTAGTTTTTATCAGATGCAAAGCTAGGCTGCTACATACTTTCAAACTGTTACTTGGTTCATTACCGATTCTGGTTCTATAGCAAAGAAGTTGACTATTGGCTTTATCTGAGCTGGATTCGGTTTCATTCGATTTTTCCATGTGTATTCCTCCAGGATGTTGAAACCGCTGATGCGATAGGATGCAAGTCTTATAATGCCTTAATGAGTGAGCTTGTTGCCTTGGAGCCACAAAATGGAGCGGCTCATTCTGACTTGATTCCTGCT